ATTAAAAAAAGGGTAAAGGAACATGCAGAATTCTTATCCAAATGAAGCCTAAGAAGAAGTTTTGATGTCATGGGATTATGCCCCTCACCCCCCCAAAAAAAAAGTCAACTGTTTAACTAAACTATTAAAGCTTAAAGGGAATTTGTGTGATATGATCCATCAATTTACATCATTGATGGGAATTGACAGACTCCATGTGCCTGCATTGATAACAATGTTTAAAATTGGGAACTTGGGATCCTCTTGCATCAATGTTTAGAATAATTGCATCATGACCTAAAAGTAATGTAAGTGGGCATTAACATATACTGTAATAACATGTGCTTGTGTTTCACAGATAAAATTAAGAACAACTAATCTAATTTTCATGCATTTATAATTAATATTTTTTATTTTTTAAAAATTTCAATAAAAGAAAAAACTGATATGGTGAATTATTTTTTATGTCAAGAATAATTTTATTAATAAATCGTATAAGATATAATGATTTTGTAACAAATGATGTCACAAGTTTGAGACTTAATTCTTAATGAAATAACAAATTACAAAAAAAGCAAACAGTAATAAAAATAACAATCAAAATTAGTACTTGAAGGCCTCACAAAACACTTTGGTAAATGAATTTTTATAATAATTAAAGTTTGATTGAGGGTTTTGGGGGAGAGGAAGTACAAGTCAAAGTGTGGAAATGGCTTCTATTGAGTGCTTGACCAAGTCCATTGTGAACCCAAATTCCCCCCTTTATTTTGTAATTTAATACACAAGTTAGGTAATAATTGCACATGGAAAAGCAGACAAATAATTTCAAAATCCAATTAAAACAATCCACCCAAAATTTCAATTTCACAGTAACCAGTCCACCCCATAACATTCGTATCATTCTCTAGATTTTCCTGCACGGAGACAAAGTACAAGGTTAAGAAGAAGCTGCTGGTTTCCGAAACCCGAAAGAGACAGACGCAAACAAGCATAGCCGACACCTCAAAAAGCGTACCAAATCAAGTCTACTTGTATAGGGACCTAAACCCAATCAACCCTTTGCTCATTTTCATGGGAAAGGAAGAAAAAAGGGTTTCCTTAGCTTTGAAAGAGTCAAGCCACCATGTCGAATCCACTGACCATATTTTCCTTTGAATTTCAAGAACCTTAACACACACCACAAAATCTTATAATACTATTTTGACCAAATGACTTGTATCTTTCAATGCTGATATATTCTTTGTTTTTTTTTTTTTTGTTTTGGCATCAATTTCAGCTCATGGGTCAATGTTTTCTCCTCCTCCGTAATCAAAAGCAAAAAATGGGGTGAGCGAGTGAATGAATTGTTTACGGCAAGAGGGAAAGCTCCACGTTGCTCTCCTCCCCAAAGCCCTAAAGGCAAATCAAAAAAAGCAAAAGCCAAGCCTTTTTTCAAGCTTTGGACAGTAAGAGGGAGAGAGGGAGAGAGAGAGAGAGAGAGAGAGAGCGCGAGGGGTTCAGATCTGTGTGTGGCAGGCACCATGTTTCCACATAGAGATTGGCCCTGTCATTCAATGCCACATATGATAAAGTATTGGGTAGGGGCAAGGGGGGCAAAACCCTTTTTCCATTCATCTTTCTTTTCTGGGCTTACTTACTGTTTTGGTGATACGGCACAAAATGAGAGGCCAATTTTGGGTTCGGTTCCATCGAACATTAAGATTCTCAATTTGTCACTTTGTCGGCTGCACCTTTTGGTTTTCTTTGTTTAGTATTTCCTACTTCTCTCATATGTTCATATTATATTTTTCCCAATTCTCCTTACACCTCAGCATGCCAGCCTTTCCTTCCCTTTCCTTTCCTATCCTACCCTTTCCATGCTTAGCTTTGCCCTTTTATTGGCCAGCCATTTTCCCATTCACATTTTAATTAAACAAACACGGATTAGTATCTTCATTCTTTCTTATGACATCAAAGCTCTTTTAAATCTTCTTTCGTAAGCATTGTGATTTTGTTAGATTATTGATAATGTCACGATTCGTCAGAGCATGCACTAAATATTATTGAATCAAAAGGAACATGTTTGCCATGGTTTCCGACTTTGTAACTTTTAATTTTTTAATAGCATATGTATATCATTTTAAAAAATATAAACTAAAAATAATAATCCAGTTGGAGTCGATTTGGTTGAGTTTGCAACTCATTTTAGAAAGATGGTACCTTAGAATTTGTCGACTGCGACTTAATCAAGATGGTCACGTCTAATATTATGTTAAAAAATATTAAATTAAACAGATAATTAGAGATGTTAATAAGTATTTTATATTAAATTATCTTGTATTACTTAATTTAATTTAAAAAATTAAAATATCTTATAATTAAATTAATTTTGAATTTATTTTAATTAAATAATTACAAATCTAAATTAAAATATTTCAAAAAATAACGAGTACTCAATCTATTGATATTTTTGGATTGATTAATCCCAATATTCTCAACTGACGGAAGGGCTGATTAATTAATTTTGCCACATTAAAACATACAATCTGGGCCTCAGTTTGCACCCTGAATCAAACCATTGGCGCCCATGGTAGAGTGGTAAAAAGCATAGACAGAGAATTCGCAGCCCATAGTTGAACTGAAATAGGCACACACCATTTCTTTAGTTTCTTTTGATTTACAATAGTTTTAAAAGATGTGTGCAATTTTCAATAATCTTTTGTGAAGCTTAGAATCAAAATGATATGATTTGCTCAAAGATGTCGAGAAAATTGTTGATTCTTCTTCTTCTTCTTCTTTGAACTTTGACCTGGTAAATGGACAGTGATGGTTTTTAGGCCAAGAACATGACTTTAAAAACACCGCACTTTCAATCAACCTCGTCTTTTAATGAACGAATAAGTCCAAAGCAGAGCAACTACTTTGAATTTGGCTCCTCTGTTTTGATTTGATGACCCTTTCGCATCGAAACACAGAATCTTTGCCCTTTGGATCATGATGTTGCACCTTCCTAATTTGTATCTCTTGGGTCCGTCAGAAGAAGGAATCAGACAGCACAAAAAATGGGTACCCTATGGTCCAACGCCATTCCCTCTCCTTGTCTCTCAAGAATTCCATGGATGAAACAACAGAAATTTGGAGGAAAAGTTGTCAATTTGTCAATGTTGTCGCAGATAATGGTCATGTTAGTGGGACATAGTTTACCTCACACAAAAAATAAAAAAACAAATTATTGACATGGTATTACTTCAAAAATCCTTGGGTCCCCTGTAAAAATATTTATAATTGGGGTCGGGAAAAGTTTCCTTGAGTAAATAACCGACACCCTTTTTAACCATCATCAATATAAACATTTTTTACCTCAAATAAATTTTTAAAAGTTTTGACACAAAAATGATAAAAAAATATTTAAAATTTACCCAATTAACAATTTATGACGTGTCAGACTTAATTTGATTTATAATTTATGAATACTTATCATAACATATGCCTTCAGCCGCAAGCAACACAATAAATTGGATTTCTTTTATTTGTTGTCGCCAGATGAGTACCGGCCGCGCGGGTGGCCATTGCACCATGATCGACGGTAAGCACAATTTCACAATCCTCACATTGTTCAGCATTCTACTTATGTCATTTCCTACACAATCTTCCGCAATCATGCCTCAATTCGCCGAAACAATAAGGGAGGAGATTTTCCCAAGGGTGACGGTGAGCATACAAAACGAAGCCAGCCACAGCGTTTACCTCAAGTGCGGGTTTGATCGTGTCGACCAAAGCCTGAAGAGGCTTGAACCGGGGCAAACGACGTCGTGGACATTCTACGAAATCTTGTTCCCCCTCCGGTGGTGTTACGTTCACATTAACAATGAAATTCATGGGGCCTTTTGGGCCTTCACGGTTACGTTGAAATGCACCCATTGCACATGGAGCTTAAGAGACGACGGTGCCTACCACTTTGACAATGTTAAGGACAATTGGGAAAAGCATCATCTTTTTCTTGAGTGAAGAAATTTTGTCCTTTGAATCCACATTCCATTGAATTTCCTTTTGTGGGTATTTAATTACATTCAATTGATTTTCTTATTGATTAACTAGGGAAGAAATGGTGCCTATGTATGCATGAAGCTGATGAGGTTTCTGATGTAAAAACCGATGTTACCACATCAATATTTATGTAGAGGAAAACATCACTTGTATTATTTGATCTCTCTTTCCTTGCTGCAATAAGATACATTTTGTTTTTGAGTAATTGATCACGCTGCATTGGGTCATGGCAAATAAACATTTCAAAGATATGGTTGATTGGTTATTCAGTAAAAAACATTTAATTATTATGTTGTATTCAGGATAATTAAAGGGGATACGTAGATTTTTTTCGTTTTTCTTATTAATTGTTGAAAGTGATTCTTGCAAAACTATTCTTCGAAACAAGAATCATTTTATCAACATTTGAAACACATCTCGAATCAGATTAAAAGTCGTAAATGCAAAAACAAATTTTATTGTTGACAGGGTTGGAAAAAATAAAAAATTGTCTACTCAGAGTGTTTGTCATTTCTGTTCCAGCTTTCAAGCTGAACTTAAGCTTTCCCTTTCTTGAAATTCTATTACCTTAATTGGGTAGTACAGGTTGACAGCTTAGAAATCAAAACCATAACTATACCTCTACTAGGTAGTAATGAACCTAACAATCTGGAAAAAAGTGAAACAATTCTTTCTTGAATAGCACTTTCTGTTTTTGGAAGGAGAAGGATGTGTTCATCTTTAGGGAGCACATTTTGTTATCTGGAATCGAAGATTGTGTCACTTTCTTGGATTAATTGCACACCTAATTCAACGATAACTCGTCGTTGATAGTATTGAATAATTTACCTTGTCGTGGAGATCGACCCCAAAGCATGACTATTGCAAGTCATAATCATGAGACAGATAATGAAGATTATTTGTTTATGAAAGAAGATACAATCACCATTGACTACTGAACATGCATACAGTGTAAACGTGAAGAAACAGAGAGAGAGGACAATCAATATTGGAAATTGGACGCAAACAGATAGCTTGAATAGAACTAATAATCAGTAGGAGCATTAAATTCTGGAAAAAGAAAAACAAAGGCCAACAAAGCAGAAGTCAATACCCGAACCACCACCCTTGCTGATTGGTGAGGTCTCATCTCTTTAGGCCTTACCAGAAAGCAAGGGTCACAGCTGGTGCGCTCTTGACTCCCTCTAGCTATTACATGGAGATTTCCTACTATTTTGTTTTAGCCTTTACCCTCCCAACAGTACCCACAGCTAATGTTACACATGCATCTTTCTCAAATTTTTTTCCCTACCTAAACAAGAACAGCCTACCCCCTTCCTTAGTTACAAAATGACCCTTATTTACCACATTACTACAAACTGACACTAATATGAGAATTCCACCACTTGATTTTTAACAAATTACCAATAACTTCCCCAATCTTTCCCATCTTCAAATCCATAAAATGGGGATGTTATGGGTAATTCAGTATGAAAACCCTGATTTACTTTTCTGGTGCAGAAGCAGGCTCAGTGCAAGAGCCTAGTACACCAATTCCATTATCAGGGCAGCTAGGGGCAGTACTGCTACTAAGGGCAGCAGTGATTTGGTGAACTGTGGTGCATAAATGGTTGTTGATGGCGGCAATGCTTGAGAGATTGATCTTTGCTGATGGAACTGTGCTGGCAAGAACTTGTAGCCCAACGGTGAGTAAACTGCCTGAAATATGTCCACTTGCCTCTTCAGATGGCGGGACTGATTTGCCTTGATCATCACCAGCATCTCTGATGAGTTCCACTGGGGTTATGAAAAAGCCTAAGGGAAGTAGTGGGATGCAGGATGGGTCCTCGCCGCTCATTGCTAGCTGGACGGAATCAACATCAACGGTGGAGTAAACAACAAGGCTACCGGATCGGTCCGTGCAGCTCTCTTGCAGCATTAGCTCTACATGCTGTGAGGAATTGCTTGCAACCTACATTAAAACAATATTTATAACTAAACAAGGGTGTAATTTTCTCTCTTTTCCATAGTTTACCAAACAAGAGAGAAGGAAAGAGCTTGAAATTTAACTTTTAATTAGCACAAAAAGGAAATTCTTACATTGATTCGAAGAAGAGAAATGCAGTTCCCAGGATGGGCGCCATTAGCAATGTGAGCTACCTCATGTAAGGCATTTCCATTTGAAAGAACCTCCAGCTGCACAAATGTATTTAGTATGCAGCAGTCAGCACTAACTTAGCATTTTGGGAAGAATTAGAGCAAAAATAGATTCAAAGCTCAATGAAACCTGAGATCTGCGGCGTTCGTCCCTCAAAAGATCAAAGACTTGGTCGTGAGGATATGGCAGCCAAGTGGTCGATACAGCACAAAGAATCAGCCCATTGGGTTGGCCAGGTTCTGTGACTTTCCTCGTTGTGATTCTAACAGTATCATCGGCGGAATCCGGTAGAGCTGTCCACAACTGGCCACTGGAAGTGCTGATGTTGACACAGAAAGTCCTTATCAGTCTCTGAGCAAGTCTCATCAAATTCTTCCTTGCTTCCGGAGAAGGTATCACTGCAAAATGATAGAGATAGGGGAAATATTTCATGAATGTAATACTGAAAACCAAATCATTAAAAGTCAGGTTTGGTTGCAGGCATGAGTAGAATTTCGGAACCTCCTAAGTCAGTGATATTCCTGGCCATGAGGCTAGCAACCCTTTCACATTGTCGCTCCAAAACAGCTAACCAACGATGTGCTCCAAACGCCATCCCGTTGTAAACAAAGTGGCTAAATATCTGATGAACAGGCTTCTCCTCTATCTCTGCATGTTCAACCCATGTAACCTGCAAGAAAAAATCTTGTGAATTCAATGAAAGAACACTCCCACATTCTATATTCTCAGGACTAATATTCCTATATCTCCATGAATGTAAAATGATGATTCACAATAGCAGATTGTTCTTTTGCACACACACCCTTGAGTACCCATTAGGCATGTCTTGAATCAAACAGCCAGAGGGCCGCCTCCTGTATAGGGGAAACGAAGCCTGTAAGTTGTTATGAAAGCCATCGATGGGAAAATCGACAATTGCCCAGTAAGTTTCATCATCTAGATTTTGTTGTTGGCAGTAGCGAAGAAAATAAGCCTCCCGAGTGGGCACCAATGGAGAAAGGACTTGCAATTCTGCATACATCTGCTCAAATAAAATCAAACAAAATGAATGTAAAAGAGTGTGAGCATTGTGAAGAAAATTAATGTAGCGTTGCAGATGTGTCTGTACCAGCTGAAGGGAACCATTTGTTCCTGAAACACCTGCTGATACAACTTGAACAGTTTTAGCTCTAGCAACGATAGATGGAAACAGTTCCGTCCATTTGTTCTGCAATAAAATTTATGCTATTTTTTCATAAAAAATTTTGAATTAAGTATCCAAAATCACAACATTAAAGGAAAGGAGCTTACAGCATCAAGAAATGCGTCTACCAAAGTGACGCTATTCATTATAACCACTGCACTATCACGGCTAGCTTCAGTCCTGAACTCAGTTGAGCGCTGCTTGAGATTTGATGGCGCCCAAGGAAACATCCTGGCATGTTCTTCAAGATTAAGTAATTCCCTTCCGTTTTCATTGTTCCGGATCCAAAGAGGCTCGTTTGTTCGGCACATCTTCACAAGCTCATCCATGGAAGACATAGCAAGCTCCATCGCAACTGTTTTTTCCTCCTCCGCCAGAACCAGATTATTCTCCTGGAAAGAGGCTGTTTCTGGCAACATTGGCACAGGCATCATCTCCGTGCAGGAAGCCATAGGCTCAGTGAAATGCCTTGGGTATATGTTCATGTCCAAATCCAATGAAGGTGGCATGAGTGCAGGAGCTGCACCCATTGTTTGGATTGGCCTGCCAATGTATCTCGACGCAATAGCACAGACCCGTTCCAGCTGGAAAAAAAAAAAAAGAAAACAACTCAACATTGTCAAAATTACATAAACTTCCCCAGGTTCCATTACAAATCATTGCAGTTGCTTCTAACTGATGGAAAATGTTGCTTAATTAAACTTATCAAAGGTTACTCATCCGATATTGGTTGAAAAACCTCTTCTCTAAGTCGTGCATTCTCTATCCGAAGCTCTTCAAAGGAAATCCCTCCAGGCACAGCTGGACCACCGCAATTTGGACAAACAAGTTTGCTGAGTTCCGCTTGAAGCCGGTAAAACTCATTCTTGAGGGACTCATTCTCAGCTCTAAGTATAACATTATCAGATCGATCCTGCTGAGCCTGACAAATTCCAAAGGGAGGGAGGGAAAGAAAGACAATAAAAAGAATGAAAATCAAAGCATTATTATGTTGCAAAACATTAACTTTAAGTGCACTAAATTAGCATTGTATTATTTTGCAGTAACTGATCTGTGAACCCTTTAGGAAGCACATGTTGCAGGTAAAGGAGTTTAATGCGCAAACACAGCCCACATTTATGAATACAGACTGTAATTGCAAATGGAAGACTACATGCAGTGGCCCCCGAAATAAATACAGATCCTTCTCTTGTGCTGTTGCTATGCGCTATGATGATGGGCATTAACACATGTACCCAGGTTCAGCCGTTTAGGGTTTGAGATGGTTTTTAATGCAAAAGCGTTCAAACGCGTTTTCTTGGGAGTCGTGTTTGGCTTGGTGATAAAGCTCTCAAAGGGTTTTAGTAAGTAGTAGAGAAAGAGTTTGGGTGCATTTTTAGGGTTGGGATGATAGCGAAAGCCATGAGCGAGAGAGAGATGCTGATTAGTTGTTCACCTTCATCTGAGTGCGACGGTTTTGGAACCAAAACTTGACTTGGCGAGGCTTAAGGCCAAGTTCTTGGCTTAGTTTCATCCTTTGCTTGTCATCAGGATGGGGACATTCCTTAAAAACGCTGCAAAACAAAACATTGTTCTTCTAAGAAAAAAGGGTAAACTGTTGTATGAGAAGAAAGAGACAATTTTTTCTTTTCTCCAATTCGATCTGTTTAAAGCCCTTTTTTTGCATGTCGTTTGCTTATTATCATAAAACCCTTTTTTTCTGCTTAATCTGTTTTCTCCAAACAAGGATGAGAAGAAAAGATTTGAGATGAAGCAACGCTAAGAAATCAAAGAGAGAGTAAAAAGAAAAGAGGAAATACGCTTCCATTTCTTGGATCTGGCGAGCAGTGTGCCTATGGTAACGTTTCTTCTTGGGGGGTTGCTCAGTACTCTCTTGCTCATTCCCGGACTTCTCTTCTACTTGTTCACTCCCAGACCCACTGTCCATCTCCTCTTTCCCTCTCATCAATAGCCCGTTCTCTTCTTTCTGTTTTAACACCCCCACACAAAAACAGAAGGTTAGGACTTAGAAAGAGAAGGAAAAAAAAAGGAAATATGAATAAGAAAAAGGAAAGAAAATCTGCTTGATTGATCTCAACTTACGGGAATCATGGGAGGTAAAGGTTGGAATGGCAAGAAGTTGAAATTAGGGTTTTGAATCGGTGATGAAAATAGGGTTTCTGATGATACCACATTCCCTCCCATGGAAGAAATGACTTGACAATCCCCGTACATTTTCTCCTAAAATGGTGTACTCCTGGCTTCACTTGGAACAGTCCTGCTTCAACAAAAAGCAGTGCAACTCTATGATCAAACAACATATCTTGAAGCAGCATATCAAAAATGGAATCTCAAACAACAAAAAGACCAAAAATCAGAAAAGGAAAAATCTCAAAATTCAGACACTAAACCTTCTAGGAAAACTAAACATGCACTGAGTGAACCAAAGAACAAAGACCCCAGCAGCCAAAACAAAACAAAACAGAAAAATGGGCAAAGAACATAGAGAAGAAGCAGCCTGTGATCACTAAGAAAAGAACACTAAGGCTCTAAAAAAGTAAACGCAAAAAGTTAGGGAATTTGAAAATAAATGATTGTGATCTTTTTCAAAGAAGAAAAAGACCACAAGCTATCGCTTCACCTTCAAACCCACCACCACCACCACCCAAAAAAAAAACAACTGAGATATAAAAGATTGAATGGCTTTTTACATCAAAACCCACCATGAATTAAAGCTTGAGAAATTAAAAGCAAGCACAAAAAAAAATTTAAAAAAAAAACCCAAAAAAAGGAAAAATTGAGTTAATAATAATAATAACACAATGTAAGAGTAAATACCACCAACAATGTTGTCGGTGTTTTCTTTGCAAAAGAAAGAAACCCAAAAACGAAAATAATCTCTCCTTTTTTCTTTCTTTTGCTTTGCTTTGATTTCTAGACCAGAAACAGACACTCCCTGCCTCTCTCTCTCTCTCTCTCTTTCGTCTTGTAATAAATTTAGGGAAGTAAATTTATTTATATTTTTTCACCGTACGTGGTAAAAACCGATCAACGCCACTTACTCCGTGTACTGTTTTTTTTTTACCACGTGCCCGTTTTGGTAATAAAGGGGGGATTCTTCCTTCTTCCGTGCGTTTCCCAATGCGAAGAAAAAGAAGAATAAAGCCCAACCCAAGTCAAATCCTTTTTAATTTCTTTCTCCTTAACACACGCGCATGCGGAAACCGTGACTTCAAATCAGCGGATTTTGATTCCTTATATACCCACGCTCTCCGTTTTCGCGTGCGTTACTTTTCGTGTGTTTTTTTTTTCTTGTTTAGTTATTGTATATTCTTTCATCGTCAGGATAAATGTCAAAATGGTCAAACGATCAAAGCCGTCGGTTTAGGGATCCTTGGGTCCATCCAATTGGGGGTCAATGGATCGAGGCCGTTGATTCTTGCTTGACGTGGGTCCCCAAAGTAGATAAATGGGGGGGTTTTTCTTGACTGCTTTGTGCTAATATCCAAAGGGCCACATTATCACAAGGGCCACCTCCCGTCTTTCTTTTTCTTTTTATTTTTTTTTTCTCTCTTGTTTTCCTTTAATGTACAATGAATTTATGAAACTACTTCATTGAAAACAACACTAGTTTTAATGGGAATTTGAATTAATTTTGAGCAAATGAATTATATTCCCTTCGTAAATTAGATTTGTTCATGATAATGTGTTTAATTTAAATCTTAACGGTATCTTTTCAATCAATTTATATTTTCGACCATTCATAGAGATGTAACCCTGTATCTCCATGTGGTAAACAATTCAAAGTTTGAAGTACTATCATATAATATATCATCCTTATTTTCATATATAATTTTGATTAGTTTTTATTTTCTTTAATTGATTTTGTTTATTCTGATTTTAGATTTAGGACTGGACCCGTATTTATTTTGATTGTTGTATCTCATATAAGATTTTTTGTATATTATTCTCTTTCTTTGATTGATAAATATTCTCTGCTATATCAACGTATTAAGGTAATATCAATTATATGATATTAATAAAACTATTTTTTGATTGAAAAAAAAAATTCTCTTTTCTATTCATGTCATTGCACGAAACTTATGAGAAACTATAAATTTAGTATCAAGATTAAATATTGTTATTAAACATGATTTTAATTAGCTAAATTGACTCTCGATCAAGAGACAACTTATAATTAAATGTTTTTGTATTTGTTGAAATCCCTTTAACTCGTTTTCCATGTAAAAAGTTAAAAACACTCACTATTATGTAGATACGAAATCCATCGACATCGTATACATTTAATGATTTTTTAGGATACAAGAACCATTTCATTATCAATCATAAAAAGGATAAATACAAAAAAATCAGACAAAATGAGTATGACAACATGCAATTATGAAATTAAACATGACAACTTTAATGCTAAAACTAATCTAAACAACCTTAAACTCATGTCTATTTGATGTTATCACAGGATATCAAACATTGGGTGTGTGTTGGAAATCTTTAAAGGGAGATCATAGTGGGGGGGGAAGCAAGCTTATTGAATCCATGATATCAATGCTAATGCATATGTATTTATTAGAGCATTGATATCTGAGAATGAGAAATAAATGTATTGAGTTTGAGACAAATGCTTTTTTTGCTCAATTGGATGGTAGTACCAAAGCCATAACCTAAGCTGATTAATTACTCTAGCCTTCCTACTTCTACACACATACAAGAAATCGAAACACATGATGCTGTCTTTTGAATCAGGTCCTGTTGGAGAGAGAAAGTTTGGTACCAAAATTTCTGACCAAATCTTAAGACATTTTGCTACATGTAATTAATAAAACATAAGGGAATACTACTTCTTCAATGGGGATTGAGCCATTAATCAGAGAGATGCACTAAGATCACTAACTCATCGTGCAATAAATTGTACCAGAACAGTTTGTGTTTGTTGGCTTGCTCCTATGTTTACATGACCTGCTATTAATAGCTAGTGCACTCGTGTGGTTACACTCATAGGGGGCTCCCAATTCTATTCTACCCATAATTCAAAGTCCCACATGGATGCCAATGATAACTACATTTGCTTTATAATTCAAGTTATCCGATTTTTAATTTATGCATAGATAAATATCTTCGATTTGATCAAAATAATTTTTTTAATTAAGTTTTTGACCAGTAAAAGTTTTACTTTATGGTTTTCGGAATATATGTAATGTAGAATTTGAATTCCTTTCAATGATTTTCTGATTAAATTTAAGTTATATTACTTTGTTTATAGATTAAATTACTACTACCATAAGTCTTTCTTCATTACTCGGTGTTTGTTTCATTAAATAAAATGGTCCAACTGCGCACATGCGGGTGTAGAAAATGGCCCACGACTGTCACATTTGATGGGCTGCTCCTGCTGACTTTGCTTGTTGCATCTCGGTCCTTCCCAAAGTTGCTTCCCTCCCCCAACTTCGCATTGATGACTAATTCTTCAAATTTGTATTTAAAGTATTCAAATAATTGAGCGAACATTTATGTTTTGGTACAGGGTTTCTGACCCACCAACACTGTGTGTGTTTCAGCCATGAGTTATGAAAGGAGGCCGGCCTGTTTGTATAGGGTGGAAGCTGTGGGAAGAATCCTTGGTCCATTGGCCCAAGACCAGGCAGGGTCAAAACATCCATGATTCGAAAACCTTTGATTAAGACTGGGAATGGCCTGGAAAAACCCCATAAATACTCAAACAATGAGGTGCAAAAATTAGTTGGCAGTTTCACAATAAAAGACGGGAGGCTGGCTTTGCTGCTGCTGCAACAAAAGCATCTTGGTTGAACTCAGAGAATAGTATTTCCATCATCAGAAAGATTGACAAGTACTCAAGCAGCAGCAGCAGCAACAGCAGCAAGCTTTAATTTGGGCCTTTTGCCATTTGCTAAAGGAATAGACAACTAATTTGATGAAGAATTTTCCTTTTTAAAATAATGACAAAATTATGGTAATATTATATGAACTTTCAATGGTTTTTTTTTTCATGGGAAACAAACCTATAACTATAATTAAAGGATTAGGAACTATACATGGTGTATACATCATTTTTACATATAGATTTAGTGAATACGAAAGTTTATCCTTTTTTTTTCCTGAATGTTTATAATTTTTTTTTGTTTTTATGAAAATTAAGATAAAAAGTTATAGTTTTAATGCGTTTTATTTTAAACTCTAATTTTTTTTTATGAAAAAAATAATTTGCATGGGTAAATATGTGTCCATTGAACACTTACGATTAAAACTAGCATTGTATAAGAAAAATCTAAGATTTTTTATTAGAAAATTTTGGTTTTTAGCGTTTGAAAACCACAGAAGGAAAAGAAACAATGAAGAAACCCTGAGTGAGGGAGTTGAAAACCCGAAGCCAAAAGCTGCCACACACCCACAAAAGAAATGGCCCTTCTCTTCACCTCACAGCCTTCTTCTCTGTTCCTCTCTCAATCCCCAAGATCTTCCCTTTCTCAATCCCCCAAACCCGTCTCTCTAACCTTTTCCTTTCCTGCTAAACCCCACAAAGCCTTCAGATTCTCTTCTCTTGTTTCACTTTCCAGCTCCCAACCGGACCCTACTCCCGAACCCGATTCTGACTCCAAACCGACCCCACTTTCTTCCATAACCGACGAATGGGGCGAGAAAACGGAGCTTGGGTCGGAACCCGAACCCACCAAGCTTCCGGATTCGGATCCTCCGACGAACGAGGACGAGTGGGAGGAACAGTATGCGGAGAAGGGTAACGGTAGTGCCGCCGCTGCTCAATCGGCTGAGGCGGAGGTCGAGGAGGAGAAGGAGGAGGAGGAGGAGGAGGAGGAGGATGGATTTGATAGTAGGATTGTCGACTTGAAGAGGTGTTTGGTGGACACGGTTTATGGGACGGAGTTGGGGTTTCGTGCTGGGCCGGAGGTACGGGCTGAGGTTTTGGAGTTAGTCAATCAGTTGGAGGCGGTGAACCCCACCCGAGCTCCTGTTGAAGCTACTCAGCTTCTTAATGGCTACTGGGTTTTGCTGTGAGTGTCTTGTTCTTCACTCAAAATTATTGCTTTTTCTTTTCTCAAAAGTTCTTTTAAAGAAAAATAAAATCTTAAAGATTACAGTTGAAATTGTAATTAATTATAAATAAATAAACGACTAAAGTGTAATATTAACAGTAACATAATTGTTATATTAGATAAAAAATATTATCTTGCATTTGCTTTGTAGATGAAAATTTCTTGGGAACAAATTAGAGATGAGGATGGAGTTAGAAAATATGTTCTTTCGGTCTAAAAATGCATTTTTCTGCCCTTTTGATAGCATTGACATTAACCCCATTACATGTAATGAGGATTAGCATTGAATGGAACCTTCTTGCTGATTTCATGATCGTAAATTATACTACTATATGAGTAACACATGCCCATATATTATCTCTGATGTCAGGAAAACAATAGTTCATACTCGGTAATTTTTCTTCACTCTCCTTCCTACTGATCAGGTACACCGCATCTTCTGAGCTGTTGCCGCTTCTGGCGGCTGGTTCAACTCCCTTGTTAAAAGTCAAAAGTATAAGCCAAACAATTGATACAGAAAGGCTCTCTATTGTGAACTCCACCACATTGGCCAGCCCTTTTGCTAATTTCTCTTTCAGTGCTTCTGCTGCCTTTGAAGTTAGAACTCCTTCAAGAATACAGGTAAATCTTAAACTAAACCTTACTGGTTGTTTAAGTGATATGTCTAGAATCAAGTCTGACTACATTGCAAAAAGACAAGAAGTTTATGACCCAGCAAAGAACAAAATCTGTTTAGGAAAGTATCATTTAATACTTCCTGAAACTGTTCACCACTTGACATTTCCGATGTTGGGGTGAATCTGATGCTACTAACCAGCTTGAATTATCTGACGGTGGGATAAGTCTATGAGAAAGAAAAAATTTTAAAGGAACAGGCTGAGTATGATGATTATTGTCGTGTTATTGAATTTGGATCCAAATACAGGGTATATTAGACATGAAACACCTTGCAGTTTGGAATTCCTTTTTTATGAAATATTTGCTTCTAAAGGTACTAATATTCTAACCCAAATATTCAGGTTGAATTTAAGGAAGGTACACTGCAACCTCCAGAGATAAAACCAAGCATTGATCTTCCTGCAGACGTGGAAGTTTTCGGTCAAAAAATCAGTCTGTTGCCTGTGCAGCAATCTCTTAACCCGCTGCAGGAGTTGGTCGCTAATATTTCAACAGCCATTTCTGATCAGCCACCTCTTAAGATTCCCATTCCTGGTGAGCGGTCAGGGTCCTGGCTTCTGATTACGTATCTTGATGAGGATCTTCGGATATCAAGAGGAGATGGTGGTCTTTTTGTGCTTGCTAGACAAGGGAGTCCTCTTCTAGAGCAGTAGCCAGGTGCATTATGCATGTGATATCTATGAAGGGGTTATTTATATCTTCCCTTAATCTCAGGGTTGATCTTTACATGCAGAAAAGGAAATTTTTGCTGTTGTCAATTTATACATACTACAGTTTAGGTCATAAACATGCTTTAACAACTATATTTTTTGGTTTATCTACATGTGAGATACAGACAGATTTTTAAGACATATGCATCAATTGAAGGAGAATACAAAATCATTTCAATCAGATGGCCATACCTGAATGTAGCGGGTAGTAAAAATACCTTGTTAAGCTGTCTCCTGCTATTGACTGGAATGCCTATGCATTAGTTGGGTTGAGATCTTTTATTACATGTAGGCAGACCAAACATAATAGCTAGAGTCACAGCAAGTGTCAAACACGTTGCATTTGTACCTTTTACTTGATCTGTGACATTTGTTCTGGTTGATAATAAAGCTGATGACCTCTTTACTCTCTTATAGGGCACGCTTGTGATGATAGTCTCGTGCCTCAAACCTATGCAAACAACATAAATACTTAGAAGTTGAAGTTAAATATTTTGGTGTTAAGTTTGAAGTTGGAACTATACTAACCATAGGAACTACACATTTGACAGAACACTAGCTCTAGAGCCAAAGAACAGTGTTGTTCTAGGGACAATGGTGTTCATCATTATTATTTCCAACTTGTTTCTCGTGACCTTAGACCTAATTTTCCAGCAAAATCATTGTATGGGTCTGGTCACATGGAAGCATCATAGCGATATTCTTCTTCTATATCTAATGCAAGAAAAGGATTACTGTTGGAATAATGTTTTCTTAACCAACATTGAAGATTGCAAGTGCAGCACCCTGTCTCCGGCACTTTTGTTCCAACCACTCAATAATTCCATCTCTAGATTCACCTACCTTTCTGAGTTTCTTGTTGAAACCTTTCTGGGATTCATCACAAGCTCTTTTGGCTGCTTTATCTGACTGTTTCTTTTCTTTTCCATGACTAAGGTTTGAACTTAATTCCATCCAGGATTCCAGCTTCAGTCTGAAAAAGATCACACTCCTAGCAGATGGGAATTAACATAGGCATAGCAATTCAATCAAAAAGCATAAAAGGGAAAACCCAACATCCAAACCTTTTACCAAAATGAAGATAAAAGTTTGAGTTTCGATTTGATTATTTGATTAGGTTTTCAGATAAAAAGAGATTAAACCAGTATATAATTATTTGATTACGTTCTGTTTTTTCTTAATGATTTTTTATAATAATATCTTAGTAATAAAAAAATTCCGCTATGAAGTCAAACTAGATAATTTAAGGCGAGCACAAACATTCCAGTGTCGTTACTATATTCAAGGTTACTCTGCAACCGATCCCTTCAGTCCATCACCGAATCAACAAATGAACTCCCAACACTCAAGTCTAAATTTGGTAATCTAAACCTTCTGATCATGACATGTCGTAGTTCTATTAGTCCACGTTCACTAATCATAACTCTTAAGAGAAGATTATGTGTAGAGAACACCACTAGGTGACGGGTTGACAGAGTCTAGCCAGCAAGAAAGACGTGCACCAATCACGGATTGGCGCCACTCTTCACGCATTTTCCTCTTGGAATTTTCTCGTGAAATGAGAAGGAAAAATGATAAAGAAATCGAGATTGAAGAGATGGGAAAAGGCTAGACATTAGGATTCCAATCATTTATTTCTAATAATTATATCATGTTTTTTCTATATTTTGTAGGAAGAAAAATAGCAGATAAGGACGAAAGTGTCACACCTTCTGTTTTTGGCTCTTCTTTGCAAAGATTTTTGCATTCATTTTCTGTTAGTTTAGTGTGATCCGATATTTGGGTAATATTTAGTTGCTGGTAAACAGGAAAGATCCATCGAAATTGGAGGTCTAAGAGCGATTTTCAACGCAATCTTGGATCCTACAAGACACGTTTTGGGCACAGGAGTCGACCCAGAAGACAATCATCTTGTTTTTCGAGAGAGTAATGGGAGTGATGATCGACCAGAGCCTCAGATAGCAAAGTGCTAGAATTTTTGTTCGAGTTAGTTCGATAACGTTTTCTTTGTTTTGGGGACTTTCTTGTCTTGGTTTGAGAGTTTCAAGCGAGAAGCTTTTAAGGTCTAAGGTGTAGAAATTATAAAGATTAAAAGGGCTTCTGATGAACATGAGCGACAAGCAACCAGCGAAGCTAAACGATGAGCAAATCGCCGAGCTTCGAGATATCTTTCGTTCTTTTGATCGGAACAACGATGGAAGCTTGACGCAGCTCGAACTCGGTTCGCTTTTGCGGTCACTGGGGCTGAAACCCAGCCCTGACCAGGTCGAAGCCCTGATACAAAAGGCCGACACGAATAGCAATGGTCTGGTGGAGTTCTCGGAGTTCGTGGCTCTGGTGGCTCCGGAGCTGCTGTCGGAGAAGTCACCCTACAGCGAGGAGCAGCTGAAGCAGCTGTTCAAGATGTTTGACAGGGATGGTAATGGTTTCATCACTGCTGCTGAGTTGGCACATTCTATGGCGAAACTTGGACATGCGCTGACGGTGGAGGAGTTGACGGGGATGATCAAGGAGGCCGACACGGATGGGGACGGGAGGATCAGTTTTGAGGAATTCGCACAGGCAATCACTTCGGCTGCTTTTGATAATTCCTGGGCTTGAAGGCATATATCTATAGTAGTTTTGTGGTATGTTTGGCTTTATCTATGCTTTGCAATCAACCAACAAGACATTAGACATGCTTTGATGATTGAAAACATCTCGATGCTTTGTGTTGCTTAGTAGCATCAACCCTGCAGCATTGCTTCATTGGATCAGAGATTAATCTATTTACCTGTTCATTGGTTGCAGGGGGAAGATGATTCCAAAGCTTTCCAACAGTTAAGAGTGAGGCATACCCACATGTTTATTCTGCTGCAAAGGCTGATTCCTTTCTGATTCATGTAAAATTCAAAAATTGGTTTTGATCATCATTCTTCTGACATCAGTCTCTCGCAACTGTGCAAGAATTATTCATATGTTATTCTTACATTGGATCACTCTCGCTAGTTTTTTTCTTTTGTGGCTTAACAGTTGTATTAAATTCTTAGGAGTTGGAGCTTTCTCCCTTTAGATTGTATTAGCCTCTTTCTTTTGAAGGATTGTTCATTTTGGCTGAATTTGGAATGCTTATTCCAATTGTTGTTGCTGCTGCATTACATGGTAGGATTTACTGTGATGTTCTTAGCTCAATGGAATGGGCATCGCCTGTAACTTGATATCAACCACTCTCATCACAAGAAGGATTTAGCCCCCAAAAGCTAAGCGAATACATTGAAAAGCAGCTAATCACATGGAAAGACAAAGGAGAAAAATTAATGAAATTTCGGCTTCTGTCCGAGAAGTTTACGTGGGTAACAAAGGGTGTTTACCTGAGGAAAAGCACCTTTCCTTGAGCACAAAAGTATTCAATGCAACTCAAGATCTTCCAAAGGGAAGCACACTCAATTTAATTGTGGAGATAGGGAGAAGAGCTACATGTCTTGTATCTTTTGCTCCTCCAAACTTGGCATGATCAATTTATTTGACATTCAACAAACTTGATTAGCTACAAGGTGAAAAGCATCAAACAAGCTTCACTTTCACCTTTTCCGCATAAGTGCAACAGTGTGCGCGTGCGCGTATGAATGTCTAGAATGAATTTTTGCGACAAAACTAAAGATGATTAAAGGAAAAGCTGAAAGCCTTGCACTGAACAATATGCATAAATACTCTAAAAATTGTTTCATAGAACTATTTAAGAAAGAAAATACACAGAGTTCTCTATAGCAGGTATATATCAGGCAGAACAACAAAGACTGAGTCATAAAGTGCAACAATCCTTCCAAATTATGATAAGCTACGAGTGTGCAGTAAAAACAATGTTAGAGATGATAGCTTGAACACAATTCTCATCTCAAAACTCAAATTCCAATCCAGATTGTATAGGAAAAACGCAAGGAAATGCTATACCCTCGGCATGCTATAAGAACAGAATGTGAAGCAGCCTCAAGCCTTCTTCTTCTTGGATTTGAGCATCACGAACCCAACAAACATGCAGAGGAGGCAGAGAAGCACCACACCGGCACAAACAGGAATCAGTATGGCATACTCTTGGGGCAGAAAATACTTGTGGATAAAATTATCGCTGTCCACAAATGGCTGGAAAACACCATGAAAGAAGTAAGAGTCAGAATCAAACAGGTTCACAAACAGGGTGCTGAGATTGAGAATGCAATAGCAAAATAAGATACTGACCACGATGATGACCCAAAACGTATAATATGTGAAAATGGATAAGCTGATGAAAGATAACAGGAACCCGACTGCTCGATCCGCTAATTCCATTCTATGATTATATTTTTGCAGCCCTTATTGCCTGAAATAAACCAACGATTTTGAGAATGTAATCATTATCAGTGATTACCCAGAATTCGCTACCCTTCCCTGCGATTTCCCAATCGGATCCCACGAACCCAAAAAGCTTCTAAGGCTTTAAAGTACAAAAATCAAGAAAAGGATTCGAAAGAATCGGTGAAAGCACCTTCAGCACGAGATCGATAGGAGCAGAAGATTTCTAGCGTGGGTTGCGAGACTTTCCGTTGCAGACGGCGAGAGAGAAAATGGAAAGATTGAAAGTCGCTACGTTTGGGGAGAGAGAAATTGGGGGGCAAATTTCAGAGGAGAATGTTTTATAGGACAACTTATGGGTTTGGGGGTTTCTAAATTTGTTTGATTAATCAGAGGACTCTTCTGGTTTTTTCTCTCTTTTTTAGATGGAACTCCTCTGTTCTTAAATTAAAAGGATTTACTTAATAAAAATGGGACTCCATTGGTATTGCTAAATAGAAATGATATGATCAAAATCCAAATCTGTCTTCTATTCTTAAAATCTCAAAATTTATCCAATCATTGACAATCAATATTAATTTCTTTAAAGGTTATAGCCAAAGAAATATTCATTTAATTTCGTACGCATCAGCTGTGTGGCAGGGGCACGTATGACAAGATAACAAAGCTTGGATTCCCAGATTTGTATAACAGGGCGACAGCCAGAACCTCATGCTAAAACAATCAAATAATCCCTGATCTCAAGTCAACTACTGTCTGAAAAATGGAGGCTCTAAAAGAATACACAAAAGGCAGATGATGAGGAAAATTTATTATCCCATGGAAGAAGCCTTCAGAAGAAGTCTTGCAGCATCCGAAGCAATGTGTTTCTTTTATTTCGAAACAAAACACCATCCAACTTAGCGCTTCCACAACAGTCTCACAGTTTTGATAGTCCGAAAATGCAAAACAGAACACAGTTTTCAGTTCTCACCATCACTTGTGCAGCATCCATTGCATTATATCCTTTCTGATAACTCCCTCACCTCTTGCGTAATTCACCCTCAATGTGTCATGTCCATTGATACTCAAATGCCTGTATTGGATCATGTTCCCAGCAGCCCTTGGTGGCCGCATCATCAATGCAATTGTGGGTAAGGATGTAGACCACATATTTGTTGATGTGCTAAAAAGATGTCTATCGGCTTCATGGTTTCTAGGTGTCATGATGCTTCCAGGAGTTTTCAATGGGGGTGAATTTGTCACTTGCTTTGAAATGTTCATTTTTGCATTGCCAGCATGATGGTGGGGTTTCTGCTGGGGTGGAACTCGGATCTGAGCTGAAGGTTTCATTTTGTCAAGCCACCGCAGGATCCAGTTACCAAGATTCCGACCAACTTCTAGGTCTCTCTGCTGTATGTTCCGGTGAACTTTGAGTGCCACATCAAATGCAGCTCGTGTTCGTCTGGTGATGAAAAAGATAACAGATTTGAATTTAGAAATGAAAGAAAAAGAAGGAAATATTAAAGAATGTCTTTTCAAGTGCACATTTGAAATGCCATAGTTCCAAACAAAGTGCAGTAATGAAAAACATTTACCATTCGTCAAGAGAGATAAACAATTATAGTAATGAATGATCATAGCTGGGAAGTAGTAACAGCAACAGCTGCTATAGTTGCAAACTCATACAAATGCATCTCACCCATGAGAAACGTTGCAAACTGAATTCATACTATACCACAAAAAGAAACCAAATACAAATCAAAGACAGGGAACAAAAGGAAAAATGCAAACCATCCCTTGAATCCTAATTCCCATGTCCATTCAGGACTCCGAGGGCAGTGCAAATAAGCCCTATGTCACAGGACCTAAAGGCAGCCTTAGTGCATGTCAGGATACCTGTCTGCTGAGGCACAATGAGGGCACGGGCATTCAAAAGAAAACAACTATGGACTACAGAACCTAATTCTACCCCAATGGACTGATTCTCACAGGCAGCGGACCCTAACTCTCCGAATTTCTTTTGAAGGGCTACAAGTAAACTTAAATTCCTGTAGGCCAAACATCCAACAACACCAAAACAAACCTCCACTAAAGAATGGAAGGAATGTAATCACCCTGAATGATATGTATCATGAATTGAATGAATCTGCAGAAATGAAAGTTTCTTCGAGGTGTCATAAGTCAGTTAGCGGTCAAAATTTTTGGTTTTCATGATATTAGGATGATGGTGCATAGTGTCAGCCTAAAAGGTCGATGGACATTTGGTAGTTTTTCGATCACGTAATTTCACCTCACCATTAATAGCCTATAATTTACACATTCATTTCCATAAATTCGTTTCGATAGCTTAATCAAGCAACAAAAAGATGATGCCAACCAAACCAAACCCTCAACAAAAACACAAAACCAATCAAGAATCATGTCAAAGAATCGAAAGGAAACAAAGCAATAGACAAAAAGATTCAACTAAGAGAGAAATTGGCGAATCCCTTCACCTTTGGACAAACTGTCGGATCCTAGGATGCTTAGGGCTAATAATCCGTCGCTGAATCCTCAAAGCAAGCCTGTAAGTTCGTTTGAGCCCCAAGAAATAAGCGGTTCCCAATGTGATCTCCCACAGCACCATCTTTCCCCCACTGCGTTCTTCCCCTTTCTATCTTTCCAACTCTTTCTCTTTCCTACGATCTTCGCTTTGGGTTTGTTTCGTTCTTCTCTGTGGGTCAGTTTCCTTTCTTGTACTTTTCAAAAATGGTGCTTCTTTTCTTTTCCAGCAAGTTACAAATAAGTTTTCTCTGATTCGTCGCTGTTCTTCGGAGCCGCCAGAATTTTCGATCCCGCGCTTGGTGACGTCCTCTTCACTTTGTTCTAGCTAAGTGCGAACATCACCGAAACCCCGAAAACCGATCCCAGCCGTTGAGATCTTTCTAAATTATATCTCCACCGTTTACCGATTTCAATGTGGATTTTATTGGGCCGAACTTAAATATTTCAGGCCCAAATTTTGCAGTTTTTGCTACTAAGGCTTTAACATCTCGATTCTAACTTACATTTGAAATTTTTATGCAAACTTGACCCCAAAAAATCTCAATATTCCAATATTAAGTACAAACTTATGCATATTTTTTAGCAAAATGATGTTGCAAATTGGCTTTTTGTTTATAAACATTAAAATAATGTAAAAATGTAATTGTGGTTACTATATAACTTTAGATAATTCATCAAAAAAATTTTATATAACATTTGATACTTTACAATATAATGTAATTTGATAAAAAAATAATATTATAGTGTTTGATATATAAATAAAATAATGATTAAAATACAGTTAAGATAATATTGTAACGTTTGATTTACAAATACTTTATTAAGAAGGTAATGTTAATTTTTAAAATTACTTCTATTAATTAAAATATAAAGTTAATATTTATATTTTTTATTATTAATTTTTATATAATACCATCTCTTAAATATATTTTTAATATTATATATTATATATTTATTTCTTATTATAATCTTATATTTTTTATTTTTTATTTTTTAATATCATTTTTATATTAGATATTTTGTTTTAATATCTTTTTCATATATCATATAAATTTTAATTTCTTATATTTTATTTTATTTTCTAATTCTTATATTATATATTTTATTTAAATATTTTTTATTTTAATTATAATATTACAAAATGTCTTTAACAGTTAAAAGGATAAAAATATCTTTAATAATATTACAGAATGTAATGTAATGTGATTGTATTAATTTTGAACTACAATCACATTACATCCGTTGGTTGTATTGTGATTGTATTATAATATAATTTAATTAGACATATCACAAAAAATATGCCTTCACTTCTCTTATATCAAATGTTACTTTAGGGATAATGTCATGATAGGTTTTTGATATTTATCCAAATGTGCAATAGGTAAAACATCAACTAATTTTGAGATAAAAAAATACGAAAATGATGCTCATATCTTATCCAAACTCAATTAAAAATTAACAATTATTATTATTATTAATGCTAACAAAAAACCCAACCTTCAACCCGAACTTGAAATCAAATAAATTAATGAAAATTAAATTAATAGATTAAAGTTAATTTATAAAAAAATATACTTATAACAATTAATGATTTTTTAATAAATATTTATAGTAATTATAAGTAATTTATAAACAAAAAATAGCATATATAACTCAAATTAAATATTAAAATTTATTATTTATAATTGAGTTTAGACAATTAGTACTCTATAATAACTACTTGAACTCGTAATGAATACTAATTTTACTGTCTAAATTCAACTACAAAATTTCTTGATCCTACCTGAGTCAGAGTATTCATTGTAAGGTACCTAATATCATATTGACAAGTGCAACTGGAGGACTGAAAACTACAACACATCTTTGGATAAATTTTGAGGATCTTTTCATGCATTAAATATGGTGACATTATCCATGGGGCACGAAGGCCCAATCAAATACTTAGTCATGTGACCAATCAAAAACAGATAATTAAACTTTTGGGTACTTATGGTCTCATACAATATATGTAGTTATATTAGTTTATTACGGAAAAAATATAAAAATAAGTTAAATTCCGTCTGATTAATACTTTCATAAAAAAGATCGATATTAAATCAATTATTCCATCTATGTATAATGATTTTTATTTTTTTTAATGTAAATTCAACATGACTCTCCTTCTTCAATCTTTGATATTCATTACTTCCAATATTTTCTAATGTATTTGCCTTTTTTCATTAATAAAAAATAATTTAAAATATTTTAATAGTGTGTTTTTTTAAAGCCGTTGACTCGCTACCAAAATCAACTTCATTGAGCAAAAAAAAAAAGTAAAGTTCACTCATCCACTTTGTGTGTATTAAAGCATATTTATGTACAACCGCTAGGGGAAAGAGTAAAGGTCACTCATTAATTTTATTGATTAATCATAGTCACAGCTCATATATATTATTGATTTTAATTATTTAGTAACGGCAAGGGTCTGATTGGTTCGGTTTTATGATTTTGAAAATCGAATTAATTAAAACTGGCTTATTTTGGATTTAATCAGTTTTTTTTATTTTAATGAGAGTATTTTTAGATTTATTTTTAAATATTTCTAATATTTGTATATAATATATTTTAGGATATTTTTGAAGCATATTTTAGAAAAATTAATAAAATTTAGATACAAATGATTAACATTAATTTTTTGATCAGATCTATCCTAAAATTTGGATAACTCTATCCTAAGCGATTAATGCTAAAATTTAAAATATGGATCTAAATTAACTAAATTCAATTAATTATTTCCATTTAATCGGATTAATGTTTATCCTTGCAACTGAGGTCTACAAATCCTTCTCCCATCTCCCAAGATTTTAAATTTTACCGTACCATAAAAAGCGAAAAAGCGCCCCACAACACAACTAAAAGAGCGCTCAAATCAACATCTTCTTTCCCTTTTTAAAAGCTAATAATATTTAGAAATTAGTAATTTTTGAGATTAATTAAGGTTTAAGTAATAAATAATAGTAATAAAAACAACAACTCTCTTATTCCTTTAAGAAATACCCCAAGCACAACTAAACCTCACTTTCACTAACCAACCCCTCTCTCTCTCTATCTCCCACAACATGCAGAGACAGTCTTTAGGCTCACCGAGCTCCAAGCTCCACATCCATGGAGGAGAAGAGAGTTCACAAGCCGAGGACCCGAAACGCCGAGTAATCATCGACGACGACGACGACCGGAAAGACTCCAAGCCTCGCCGACTGTCGTTTTCGCCTACGTCTTCGCCATCGTCGTCGTTGACATCGCCTCCTAAGCCTGAGAAGTTTATCCACCTTATTCCTGTTCTCACTCTCCTTTGTTTTCTCATTCTCTACCTCTCTTCCCACAGTCCTTCGCAATCTGGTACGTTTTCTCCTGTTCACAATCGACGGCTATGAATTGAAGGAGTAAAGTTGTTCAAGTTTAGTATTTCACGGTTGGTCTTTTTGATTTTTTGTTTCAGATTTGGCTCATTTCAATGGATTCAAGCATTCCTCAAAGCATTTAGGTATAATGCAGCTTTGATTCTCCTTTTCTTTTTAATTTTTTGAATTTTCTGTATTTTTTTATCCCTTTTTTTGGGTTAATTTTTTTTCCGTTTTCGTTATTTGTAGGTTCACTTGAAATCAGCGACGTCGGCCGATTCATTGAGCTTCGGAGAGGCGATGTTTTGGCGATTCGAAGCCTGAGGAATTTGCAAGAACTTGACAAACACGTCCCGAAGTCTCGGCCCCACCGAAAAATAGCCGATTTCTAAAACGCGCTCTGTCGGTTTATCTCTTTCACTCTTTCTCTCTCCCCCCTCTCTCCTGCCGTTCTTGCTCTAGCGGACCATAAGTTAGCACGTGCCTACTGTTCTTGCACGTGCGAGACTTTTTGTGCCAATTTTTTTATTGCACGTGTATATTTATATTGCATGTCAATATGTTGGCTTGTGAAGCAAATATCTTAGCTGGCGCTACGTGTGTGGCGCATGTTCAATTTTATCATCTTCGTTCAGATGAATAATATTTTTGTATATAAATTATAAAAAGAAAATAAATTACTACTAAAAAAATACTTTTAAATTTCGAAATTTAAATTGGCTAATTTGCGCCTCTTAGAGGCGTAAGTTAGTGATAGGAGCCTAGGGTCAGCGGGATTGTGTGTGGAATCCAGCTGGAAATTCGGACCGTTACTGCACCTCGTGTTGCGGTTGGGGTTGCCAGCTAGAAAGTTGTACTAATCGCAGGAGCCCATTAACTGCTCCAAACGGTGATAATCTTACTCCTGATTGCATGCTTACCTCCCTGCTACCATTCTAAGATGATTATGCGCGTAAATTAACTTTGGAATTGTTGGGTCGTTGACGAAATTAAAGGTTTTTTTGACCTGGCAAGAGCTGTGGTTATCAAGTAAATCGAAACGACAAAGCATTGACCCCTCTCCTATTGTTTATGGTAATTTTATTTACTGAATTAGTGTGGTGAAAATATGAAAATGGGAGTGGAATTATCAGTGAGAAAGAAAGCAATGCTGATTGTTTTACACGTGTCAAAAGTTGAGCGCGATGTTACGTCAATAGCAAGCCACAGAAAATTGTCGGTAGTTACTGGGAGAGCCCGATTGGTTCAATCACCTTGCATTCTCGTCTCTCTCTGACTTTCACCGCTTGGTTAAAAACGAAAAAGAAAAATGAAAAAGAGCGAAAGAACGTAGAATGATGAGACGAGACATGGATCACGCGCGTTCCGGCGGTGATGTCCACGAACTGCCTCCATGAGGTGCCAACATATTAGACAATGCCAGGTGTTCTTTCCTACGTGGAGGTTTGATGATTACGCTCTGTTCCTTCCAAACCCAACGCCTAATTACCGACGTAGGGTCCCACGACCAAAAAGAGCTGTCAGTTTATGTGTCGTCGTCAAAATGCTCAAAATTCTTTTGTTCGGCTTTGCTTTTACTCTCCTTCTTTCTCTCACACGTGGCTGCCATGCAGGCTTGACATGGCATGGGCGGAAGAATCGCTACGATTTTAAATTTCTTTATCCTCTTATTTCAACACAATTTGTTATGGTAGGTATTGGTAATCATGTAATTGTTCGGTTGGGTCGATTCGATATTTGGATCAAAATTTAGGATATTAAGGTTAATATATAATTTATTTTTCTGGCTTAGCAAAATAAATTTGATTGGCAGTTACCAACCAAAGACCACAAGAATCCAGAGTGAGGTTGAAGCTTAGTTTAGTTTAATAATTGGGACAATGATTAATAATTTGAGGGAAGGCTTATGATAAAAAAATTGCAGTCTACCTCAACCTTTCTTAATCTTAAATGGTGATGGTTGATAGTGATGATGCTGTGCAGATAATGTTGTTGGGGAATTGTTAGTGGGCTCCGCCATCACGAGTGGACCTCAAAGAAACCGTCTCGTGAATATTTTACAGGCTAGTTGGTTTTCTTCTTTGTTGGGTGGAATCTGGCTGCTACAAAGACTTTATACCCCACCATCACTTAAAAAAAGCTTCAAGTTCAATCATCCCCTGGTCATTTACTTGGACATGACTTAAAGATTAAGGAAAACCTTTGAATTCTTTTACTTTGTTTTAAAAAAAAGTTCCTATATTCAAAAGTTTATATCTTTCTACTTATGCTCATATAAATTTTTAATTTTAATAAAAAATTAATACATTGTCAGCTTACATTCTCACCTGACATGTGATGTAGTTTGATAGTGTAATCATACTATAATTGCTGTAAAAATAAAAGATTTAACACATTTTATATTTATTTAATAAAAAAGAATCTTTTTGAGACAATAGAAGAATAAAAAAGAATTATTCTGGCTAAGAAACTTTCATTTGGAGCAAGAGACAGCCCATGTGGCATCCCACAAATAGCTAGGGAAATTTTGGAAGAGTTAAAGCCGGAGGGGCAAGCCCTCCTCTCAAGCAAAAGCATATGGCCAAATCACACACACTGGGGCCGTCTGCGCAAAGTGGGCACTCGGCATTGCTGCGGCATATGCGTCCTTCAACTCCTGGTACCTTTGAGAATGGCGTACCTTGCAAAATTATGAACCTATCATAAATAACTAATCAGGTGTGTATATGTAGGCGCGCATGTTTGATAGAGAAAACTAAGAAAGAAATCAATGACCGGATGGAATGATTAAGACTGTAACCACAAATGCTAATCTGACTAATTTTAGATCCATTTGGCTTCTTCTCCCCTTTCTTGTGTCTTGCTAGAATTGAAAATCTGTAAAGAAAAACTTGGTTTGATTAGAATTTTTGTTTGATTTGGGAATACTTATAGGTGTGTTCAGGGTTTTTGATTAGTTTGGGGTTTGAGGAATTTCCCATGGTGGCAAGCATGCAATTAATTTCAATACCCAAAACATGGAAATCTTTTCTTGCATTTGGGAAATTGATGATTCAGAAATTAAATCACTGTGGTGGCATAAAACTTGAGAAGGTAATGTATTAATAACTCATAGAATTTCCTTTTTTAATTAAAAAATGTTTAAAATAATTACGTATTAAAATTCATGGTTTGATTGTAATATTTTTAAATATACTTTATTTGATATAATTCGGTATCTTATTACGAGATTAAATAACTCTGAAAATATAATATTATAGTGTTTGATATATACGAAAAAATACATATTAAAGCATTATTTAAGAACATGGTTACCATATATCTTAGCAAATGATTAACGCTAGATTTATAGTAATCAAATACGAAAACCAAAATGGGAATTACATTCCCATGACTATCATTCCAATACATTAGCAAGCGCTTCCCACTGGCTTGATGCCTGATGCAGATGAAAGAGTGCCTGGAGCAAATCTTTATCCAGGTTCACTATCAAGATCAGAAGGAAAACTATACAGCCAACCAGCATCGCCATAATTGTCAGCTCAGCTCCTAAACCACAACGAAGGAGTAACAGGGCCAATAGCCACACCCAGATATCAACACCCTCCACCGCAGAGAAACACTGCAAATATCAAATTGAAAGCATGCAATCAGGAAATGGTGAATAAGTAGTTATAATTACAAGCTGGGAAAAGAATGAGATATAAACCTGTCTGGCAAACCAGACCAGTAGAATCCCAAATCGTCGAAGATCTTCCAGGTGCTGCATGTTCATATCCGAAGTCATGGAGAAAAGTATAAACCCCATCAGCATCCAAAGAGGTGCCAATGGAACTTCCATGGTGTGAAACAAGCAGTTCATTCCAACAAGCAGCGTTGGATCAGGATGGCCAAGGTTCTGGAGCACCCTCAGACACTGCCGAAACATATATAGAGCACACAACAACACAGCATCAATGAATAAACTATATGATGTTAATTTGCTTTCAACCATGAAAACGAAGCAGAAAAACACCAGTCTCACATGTTCATTTAGAACTTGTTGAAGATATTCCCACCCCCAAAGCAGCTCGATGACCTCAAACGAAATTACGAACGCTACAACCATCGTAGAAACTGCTAACCCATCTTATATAATGGGGTATAAGACAAGCTTAATGCTGAAAAATAAGATTAAAATGGCAGATAAAACCTCGTAAAACTCCATTGATGTTGATTGAAACTTTTACCTTGGGCGAGGTTTTTTTCATACTTATTTAACGTCAATTTCGTACGAAGTTAAAATTTCTATCGTAACCACCATGCGTCCATTTGTCAATTAATAAATTTAGTAATGAAACAAAATTAGCCAAAATTCTAACTACTACTCAACCAAAAATAGGTGAAAACGATTCTTTTTCCCCCTTCAGAAGTAAGAGCAGAACAGCCAAACTTCTTCAAGTTTGAAGCTAATTATGCCACTTTAAACTATTTGGGTTTCTACTTTTCTGCGAACACTAAATCAAGCTGAGCATTGATTACAGTGAATGCCATCCCTTCCTTGCTGCTTCACACAAGCGGATTTACACCTGAGCAACATAGCTTATATAAATTCGGCTCACATTTTTTTTTTGTTTGAAAAGCAGGTGTAATGGATTCATTACTGATCAATGATTTACAAAATGCTACCCATGCATGGTAGCAGAGCAGAACAATATCAGCAGGATTCAAAAAAAAAAAAAAAACTGTGTCATGACTTGTTCCATATGTACACTCAAGATCTGGTTGCCACTAGGATCATCCCAGTACAACCAGATTTTACCTAACTTTACAAAGACCTGTTCATTTGCATCAGCATCCCTCGGCTGCTCAAATTTTCCAGTACCCAAGGAAGAGCAGCAGTCCAAACGGGGACCTCCAAACTGTTGCAGCCCTCAAAACACTGCACCTAGGCATTCCTTTTCTCCCATAATCCGCACACCAAGAGCTATTCACTGCATGCATCCCTGGCCAGACACAGTATATACCAAACATAAGCAGGTCGGCAACGAGCTTCAGACGCAATTGCTTCACTGTTTTCCATCCCTCCCCTTCAAGGTCACCACCCTATTTAGCCAAAGCCTTCAGCCGAAACATACTCAGAGTGCTTAGTGCAGCACTTATCACCCAACGCATTGCCCTGCAACCATTTACTTCTCATCCATCCCTCAGTTCCTACCCCCAAAATTGCTATGCTAAGCTGGAACCGAAATTCAGCTCAGTGTACATCCTGAGTGACATAGCAGACAACAATTCAACTCACAATAGAAACATATTGATAAGTACCGATCCACTGCTTCTTCAGTATACATCGAGCTTCAGCGTAAAGGCACATAGAAAATTATCACCACTCTACAAACATGCTTTCTTTATTCACACCCTCTTTTCCCAAGTCATCTGCACAACTATTGGCTTCCTTCTCTTTGAAATGCAGAATTGAAATGTGTAAGAATTGAAAACATTTATTACGAATAACTCTTATTTTAACAAATCCATTTATTAAAAAATTTGTTCATCTGAGAATGTACTTGAAGATTAATCTAATGGTCCTTTCTTTTAGAACTTCTATAAATTAGAAATAGCAGCTATTTTGGGAGCGTTTTCTTATGGGCAACGAAGTCTAATGTATATGCTAAGCCATATTTATCTACTGCATGCATGACATTTTTGAACCCATCGATACCATCAATGGTTTCAGGTGCAGCTTGGCCATGTTCATCGGCTTCATGCTTTGCTTTTATAAATCGCTGGATATCAGCAATCCTGTAACGTGCTCCTTTCATCTTTTGTTTCAGACAAGTTCTGAAATCTTTTGCAAATTCACTCTGCTTGTCCGTCAAACAAAAACAACCCTCAAAGTCGGATTTTGAGAATTCCAGCCACTTGTATGCCACCATATGACATAGCCCTTCTCTAACTTCTTCTCCCACATCTTCATATCTACGTGCAGTTGTTAGTGCAAAAATTATTATTTTACTTTTTCTGATCAGTTCCTACAGAAATTTCAGTCGGAATATCCTTTACAAAACAAAGTCGGAAGCCTTTCTAATGACTGCATCATTACCTTGAAGGTTTAACCACCCTTGCATCATTTGGTATGCTAATGACTGCCCATTTCTCAACCTATACACAAAATTTAAAGAAAAATTGTTATTATCCCAATGTTATTGTGGGTTAGATGATAAGATTTAAGTGTTAGATTTGTAGCCAACAACTTGAATGAGATGAGAATTACATAGGCAAACCCCACAAAAGGAAGATGGTAGTGGTTTGGGGCTTGATTTTTTGGGTTTCCATGTTCACGACCAAAGAGTTCCTGCTTTCTGTACAACTTGTAACCAGTTTTTTTTTTTTTTTGGTTTAAATTTATAAGTCAAAGGTTGCAAAGCATTTGTAAATAGTTATTTGCCTAAAGAATTCCTACTGTGTAAATGAACTTACGGACTCAATAACTATGTCACGCATTGGGATAATAGTAGCAGCATCTGAAATCTGCAATTTTATATATATAAAGGGTCATGATTAATTTGATTACAACGAAATTAAATAACTAAAAAGTATATAATTACCTCATGAGAATCCAGAAACTTGCCAAGCTCATCTGCAGTCACTAGGAAAATGGGGATGTCTTTCCCAACTGCAAGTTTTGATCCTCGGAAAAGTACTTGCACTTTTCCGATTACTGTTTTCAGTTTCTCTGGACTATTCACTGCTGTAGAACAGCAATCATGGCAGACTTGCCACGCACCACTGCCAAGCTCGACGTATCTTTCATTTCTTGGCTGTCCATGAATAATATATATGTAATGCTAAAGGTTCAAGCATGTGCTAGAATTCAGTCAAGCCAAAGGTATTTGATTTGAGAAACCTTATATCTTTCACAGCCGCTGCATATTAGAGTCTTGTCGTGCTGATGTCCTGCGCACATATTTTTTTTACAAAATCTTGTACTTAGCATCAAAATATCCTGCATTTGGCAAACTTATGGATAAGAAAAATGAAGAAAGAAAGAAAAATAAATTTGATAATTTTAAATCTCGTGCAAAGATCTAACAATTCGTGTTATCATATTTACATAAAATATTAATAGTTATGTGATAAATATAAACATGATACGATTAAATGTAAAAAAAAAATGATAGAATTAATTAAATGAATTAAAATTCTAAACATATATACGGATACATTTACTATACATATTACATAATCTTAACTTGTCTATTACACAAATTGAATTAAATTTATAATTATGAGACATCATAACACAACAAATTCATTTACATATTATTAACGTGTATAAATAGTTATCATAAATGGATTAAACATATTATATTATACTAATTGAATCGATAAAACAATTAATTAAATAAATTGTTCTCGTATCATGTTAATGGGTTCTTTTAGAAATTACCCATTTTGTGTCTTATTCATAGGAAGAAATAGTTTGGAAGATGAAATACTGACAGATGAACCACAGACATCACAACGCAGGTCAAATTGGGTATTACAAAGCAGGTCATGTTGGCTATTGTAAACCATATCACCTCTTTGAGAATCGCTCTTCAACCCTTTGAACACTCCATCGTAAATCCTTTTCAACATGTTGCTAACTTGTGTATGAGTGTGTGTGCTTCTTCGAATTCAAATGCTACCTAGAGACAAGCATATATAGTAGGACTCTGAAGCCAAGATACCTATAATTAATATTGCAATTACAGCAAAATGGTGCACCCAAGCAATAAATTAATGATTTTTTTTGAAAAATATAGTATTAAATATATTTAATTGGTTTCAATAACAATATAATTAGGATCCATTATTTTCATATCCGCTACAAACTAGTAATTATCATCTAATAAATTAATGAATTTTTGAGAAATATAGTGGATATAATAACTTGTTAATGGCAATGCAATTAGGATTTATTAATGTTAACAGAATTAACACTGTTAGTTTGGTAATTGTTAATAAAGTTAATACAAAAATGTATGCGTGAGGAAAAGGATTTTTATTCTATAATTTCGGATGCATACAAAGAAAACACCTTGAGGCCCAAAAGCCCGAACAGAACAGAAGAGCAACGACGACGACGCTATGATTCCTACTCTGACGACAGCCCCTCACTCGAAAAGCCATCTCTCGCGACGAAGATCGCTGCATTATGTTTCTAGCGTCGACTTTCTATTTTAGAATTATTATCAGTACCGGGTATTGCCTATGGAACATGTGCAAATGGTGTCGGCACAAAAGCCAAAGCCAGATTTACAAGGTATACTGGCGCAGTCGCCATGGGTGGAACACGTACTACCTTCAGGAACGACGCCGGTGGCAGCCGCAGCTGAGTCATCTGTGTTGCAAGGGCAAGGTAAACAGCATGGGAGACAGTCGCATAGCCCGACCTCCCTGCAGGAGTAGGACAGCAGCCCAACTGTGTAAATAAAAACATGTCGGCATTATCAGTCATATTCATCATCAAACAACGATGTAAATGAAAATGGAAAAGAAAAACAGGGACTAACAGGATGAAATAAGCAGCAGGACGACCAAGAAACCGAGCTTGAATGAAGCTTTCTCCATTGCTAACGTTCAATGTTTTCTCTGTTTTTCTGGATGTGGAAAGGCTTGTTTCGTACTTAACGTAGTGATTTCCTGTTTATAAAATTGAACTACACTTGTAAAGGATTGTTTTCAAACAAGAAACTACCCAAGTTAGTGAATAAATTATTGAGTTCAAACAATTGACAATGTGGAAGTATAAGTATCTCTCTCCAGTAATTCATTTTGAATATCAAATATCAAGGAAAATTTTCCCACCCCAAGTCTGGTTTTCTCGCCCCCTACAGAAGGGAGAAGACTGATTATTCTGCCCTCTGGGTTCGTACGTCATTTGCATGGTGGGTTTTTCTTCGATTTTGCTTTTATGGAGACATGAGGATGGCCACTGTGACGGAGAAGCCTGATCTCAGGCATTGGACCAACCCAGTCTGCCTAAATATGGGCTGCATACAGTCACTCTTACTTCAGGATAAAACTCTTAATGGTTTTGACTCGGCCCTTAGTTGCTTATTCTCCTCAATCTGTATATCTTCAAGACTTGAAGAATAAGGCAGGGAAGAGATAGAATACAAGAGATTGTTCTTAAATCTTAACCGTATGATTATATAAACAATTGAAAATTTCCAAAATGATGATGTGATAAACAGAGTATCGTTGCAATCAGGGCACGAGGTTATCGAAATCCCAAATTTTCTGTATACTACGCACAAAGAAGAGAGACAAGGAAGACATGCCCAGATGGCTACCGAACATGCCATCCTTGGAGGATGCTAAGAAACTGAATAAGCAAACTCCAAATCAACACCAGTACACAAGATCTATCATACATCATCATTTATAACACCGTTCTTGATTATTGTTAAAACCCATTCAAAGATCCTTATGGAACAGATTTCATAAACCATACATATGTAATTCTAAATACCTATTCTAAGAACTACGGTCCAATTGTAAAGGATATCTCAGTCAATGCAATAACAGCAGCAAAATCAAAGTAAAAAAAGTAAAAGAATTCACTTATTGGGATATTTGAATCCCCTCGAGATTTGTCCCCAAACATCATGATTGATTTTCAATCCACCCAAAGGAAGGAAGAGGAGAGAGAAATGGAGTAAAGAAGTCACTCTAGCACTGCATGCTTGTCTCCTCCACTGGCATCCCAAAAGTACAAAAGTCATGAACAATGAGAAGTGAGCGCATATGAGTTAGCTGACAAAAGCACCAATCAAAAAGTTGAGGTAAATGTTGTTACTGCTACGTCCAAAATCTGAACCAAAGTCTTTATTTCTTCCTCTGTTGGTCTGAAACTCTAGCTCCCATAATCTTAACAACAGGCTCATCTTTTGACTGAATAAGCTTTAAAGCTGGATGAACCTTGAGGTCTCCCATTACCAACTTCTGGCCAACATCCAACTCACTTAAATCAACATCAATATATGGAGGAACAATATCTGCTGGGCATCGGAACTTAACAGTCTTCTTGATAATATTCAAGTATGACCCTGTCAGGTTTGTCAAACGAGTGATATTTAGCATATATAGTGGAAGAATATACTAGTAGTAACAATAAGGCAATGCAACAAGTGAGATTCATAAGAAAAAAGTGACAATCTGAAACATGGTAAAACTTCATATATTACTTGGGAAGCAGAAGGATGAATATGATCACTTGATCAGGAGACTGCCACAACTCATCCAAGAGCAATTTATAATAAGCTCAAAGTGTGGATTATGCATCAGCAACATCAGATTTGCAAGTCTATGAAAGGTTGTGACAAATATATAACTTCCCATTGCCCACTATGCGGGAGAATGTTTATTATGGTACGCTCAATTCTTCTATACAATTTGAACGGATAAAACGAAAATACATACTAATACACACAATAAGCTTCATGTGGCACTATATGCAGTAATGTCACTTGCTCCTCTCCTATCAAAAAATACTAACTGTGCAAGTGTGAGCACTCCTCCAGAAAGTGATGCAACAATATTTTATCTCTAGAATGAATGCTAAAACTTAGCAAGTTATCACATCAAATAATCTCCACATATCTAAATGAAAATCCTTTCATAGGCTGATAGGAATTAATGCCAACCATATTCGTATGTACTAGGGGAAGTTTGTGAAGATGTTCCATCTACATATCATAAAGTGAAAATAAAAATCCAAACGAAATGGCCATGTTTATTGACATTATCATATGAAAAATTCATGCTGCACACAAAATCTATGGTTGGTGTTGAAAATGAAACCAACTTTCCGTAGAACTGATGCCCTTGCATGTCTTCACATGCAACATGAATCCAAACTCTTTAAGTAGACTTAAAACTCTCTCCTCTTCTGTCTCCTAAATCTTTTCTTTATTAATACTCTCTCTTTTTGATCCAAACAAAACAAAACAAGAATCCAAACTCTCTAGGAATTAGATAAACCATAAGTCAGCAGAGTCAAAACTAAACACACAAAGAAATGCAATTACCAATAGAATCAACGAGAGAAAAGTTTAAAGAAGCTCGTTACCTTTCCTGAGTCCAGGGGATACATCTTCTCCTATGAACACAAGAGGAACATCCACCTTCAACAAAGCATGGGAAGGCGCCCTTATGAAGGTCAAATTAAGAGGTGCATCAGTCCCCGCATGCAAATGAAGCTGAAACATTGGTGTTTACAAGAAATATATCCAAATTCAGTGCAAAATACAGCTGATTAAAGGAAAATGAAAGTTCCGCAAGAAAAATAACAATCTGATTAATCAAATTCAGTGAACTGAAGAAAAACCCAAAAAGCAGATTACCTTCCTGGGGAGAACCCGAACTTTCTCAGCCAAATCACCAGTCCCAAACTCTGAGCGAACCTCAAGATCGAAAAGCCTAGAAAGGAAAAAAGATTGGCCTAGATGTTTAACCAATTTTCTGATCTGATTGATCTGAACAGAAATGAGCCTCTTGTTGCCTCCATGTTGCCCATCTTCTTGCTCGAAAATGATGCTAGGGAGTCTGCCCACTTTTCTTTCTTTGGCAGCGATGCTTTTTCCGGAGGTGGCGCGTGGTATGGCTAGTATAGTCTCGGCATATCTAGGGTCGGGTTTGGGGAAGCCTTCGAGGTAGGTCAATGGAAATGGAGAAGATGGTGATGGTGATGGTGATGGTGATTTGTCGAGCGCGAGAGCTGCTTGGGAGAAGAAGCGGAGGTGAAGGGCTCTGCTGGATAGTGTGCGGTGGATCAACATTGCCATGGCCACTGTTTGCAAAATCAAGAGAGTTGGGTTCATGGGGTTAAGGGAGGTTTTTGCTGCGTGAAAATTTGGGGTTTTAGTGGGGTGGGCCGAAAAAGGGCAAAGAGGCTGGCCCAGGGGAATTTTTACGTGGTTATAGCAACAGTTGAAACTCTATCGCAAGGCATCTTTGTTTAAATTATATAATTAATTTCGGTACTATGATAAAGTAATTTTTTTCTTTAATTTAAGTGGATATGGTATTTTTTTGTTGAATATGATGATGTCATTTTTTATTTATTTTATAATTTTTTTATGATTTTAAATTACAAAACATGAAAATAAAATTATTTTTGATCTCACAACATTCTTTTCCTAAATTGTATTTTTAATTCATTTATTTTTCAATCCCATTTAAAACCATTATTTTACATTGAATAATTCCATGTCAACATTTATAAAATTTATATTATTATTTGATCACGTTATATCAATACTATTATCACATCATTAAGTGAAATGTTGAATCATATTATCAAAATCACTATCACATAGTAAAAAAATATAATGTTAATAAAATCAAACCCCATATCAACATAAATAATAAAAATTTTTTATTATATTAAATTGACATTATCAATTTTAAAAAATATAAAAAAATTTTACAAATTATTCTGTAAAAACTAAATATATCACATTAATAAAATACAGAAAAAACTAATTATATAATTTGACGTACATCTTTCACCAATAAAACACCCTACACATCATCATATGGTTTCAATTTCAAATGCTCAAATAAAGGGCTTCAAACATCAGACTGTTTGTCTTTGAGCTCCCAAGGAAACAATCACATTCATTCATACAATGGACACTGCAGAGTTAAGGCATTTGAGCTCACAAACCAACTACAAGGAACATATTCATTCATACAATGGACACTGCAGAGTTCAGACATTTGAGCTCACAAGCCCAACCACAAACCCAACAAACACAACCATAAGGAACATAGTTTCCATATAAGACCAAAACTATAATCCAGAAGGACCAGAGGCTTACCAATAGAAAGCCGAATAAGGCTAAAAACTACGAGGAACCACCAACAACAATGTAACTGTTCAATTCATTCAGCATCCTGACAAAGAAAGTTCATTATATGAAATGCTATGGGATAGGTTTGTCCTACATTTCACCATTTCCACACTGGAAAAACGAAGCAAGTAATTAAGAGATGACAATTCAATTCCAAAGATCCATAACTATTTACAGAAGCAGCATATCAAAGGATCAATCCTTGCACGGGTGCAGGCTTTGAAAGTCGTTGTTCACCTGGTGCAGAAGCTTTAGGGGACTCAGATAGATGAATCTGCGCAAAATCATCAACCACTTTTCTTTTCCGTTCCTCTTCAGCCTCTCCCACTTTTTCTTTTGTCTTCTGGCCAACTTCTCCTGCTGCTTTTGCAACCTTATTGAAAGCACCTGTTACCCATGAAGCTCCGGTGAATACATACCTGTTCTTCATTATGGCAGATCCTGCACTGCTGACCTTTTGCTCAGCAGCAGCAAATGCTGATTTGGTTTTCTCTGAAACCTGAAATTTCTGATCCACTTCTCGTACTTTGTCACTAACAACAGTAGTACCAGCACTTATCTTCTCGGTGAACCCAATTTTCTTGTCAAAAGATGCTACCTTGGCTGAGGCTGTTGATGTTAACTGGTGCTTCTCATCAAAGGTTTTTGCCTTGTTGACTGCATCTTTGCCTAAGATAAATCCCTTAGCAAGCATGCCACTAACAACATCCTCTGCCTTCCGAATAGCAGAATCACCGCCACCAGGAGTTTTATTTTGTATTGCCTGCAGAAAATGAGAAAATAGAAAACAATGTAAGCATTGTTCTAGCATTCAAACTATCAATACAGTGTGACACTTACAGGGGGTGGTGCAAAAGCAGCAGGAGGCAGCTTGTAGTCTGGAGCTAAAGTAATGCTGACCGACATATCAACTATTGTTGCTCCCTAAAACACAAATAGTTGATCACTTATTTAACTAATATAACATAAAGAGAAAAAGCCAATTCACATTTGCGACATGAATACGTGTCTGTCAAGCAACCCTACATAACTTAATATATTCGTAAGTAAAATTGCAGTATACTTCAGAGTTAAGGAATTATAGTACTACTGCTTTTTTGCTGCACATTTTTAAATTGGAGTTTTGATACTTTTTCTCATATTAGAATTTTATGGATTCTGAGGCTTTGAAAAATGATAACAAGAAAAGTGGTCTCCAGAAAGGAAGATGCCCATTATTTTAAAATGTCCCAAAAGGAACATATTGTATTCAATTTAAAGAGGACAAGCTATCCATGTTGTCAACAAATCAAAACTTGTTCAACATTTGCACAATCTGGCAAGATATCACACTGTAGTTTGTCTTATATTATCAACAAAGAAACCAAAAGACAACCGTTTCCAAGTAATAAAATGAAAAAAAGACACATTATAGTGAAATCATTGATAGTCTAAAGCGAAATTACCGTAAGAAGAACAGCAGTCTCTGCTCCTTGTGAATCCTTGAAGGTAACATAGGCAACTTGAGACCGCTCATTATCGCTGCATAACCATATAATAAGCTTGATTACCAGAGAAAAGTAATAGAAAAAAAGATATAAGGAACTAAAAGAGCAACCGACCTCTGCATTTCAACATATTCAATATCACCAGAAAAGGAAAAGAACTCTTTAATGTCTCGCTGAGTTGCTCCTAAAGAAACATTTCTGACTTTAACAGTTTTAATCTGCAGTGAGAACATAAAACATGAACTTATAGAATCTTGTCTAGATAATAACCAGGCTAAGAGAAAGAAATGTAAATATAGACAAATTAGCAACCTCAAACAAGCATTTCTCACCAAACTCATAACATCTCCACAAGTCATGATGTATGAACTCTATTGACTTATCATGTATGACGCAACTCAACCTCAAGTCCTCAGCAACTTGGTAGAGAGATATGAAGAAATCACACACACAATAGCTAAGAAAAATTCAAAGAAATTAAGTGGGAAATCTAGAATGATTCAACTTAAGCTTATGCATAAATCACTTATTGGTAGACTGAGAAATTGGCAATTTCTTACTGCCAGAAGAAGAACTCAAATTTCTCTTATGCTTATGTCATAATGGTCTATAGCTATAAGCATGTATTTGATAAGCTGGTTACTATCTAAATTCCCAAACTATCAAAATCTATAATTCCCATTTCTGCTGGCTAACTCCACTCTGCTTGATGGCTCAAAACTAGTAGGAGTTACTAGTCGAATATGGTTTTGTTCGTTCCACCAATCCAATTCTACATTGTTTATGAATATCAAAAAGACTGCATTAGCTCATGTAATTATAGAATCAAGTTTTACTTCTTTTCAACAAAGCAAATATAATCAAATGCGAATCGCAATCTCAAGGAACCCTACCCTATATTCATCAAGTGATTAAAATCCCTGTCCTCCCATGAATCCATTGAGCCTTACAGCAAAACATACCAAAGAACAGATAAAGAAAGAGAGAAAGATTCAAACATACAGTAAACAAGAAAGAAAGAACCGATAAAGAAAAAAAAAACTACGTTCCTCCTGAATCAAACCAAAACTAACCCAAGAAGAAGCAATCAAAACGAAAGGAAAAGAACTCACCAACGACATGGTCAAACGGTCAAAAGTTCCGCTAAGCGATAAAGTCTTGTCTTCAGAAAGAAAAAAAAATGAGGCTATCGAGGAAGAATGAAAGAAGGGACTTTACTTAAAGGAGGGAAGAGAGACCGCAGAGGTTTTGGACGTACGTGCGAGGGTTGGGGTGGAGGTGGGAAAACTCGCCGGCAATCGTAGCACGTGCGAGAGACCAAAAGAGAGGGAGAAATTTGGTTAGAGGCAATAATTACGGGTTGTGGTCGGGTCAGGGCAGATTCCATTGTTCACAGGAAGGAATTAATGGTTCTGGACCTCTTAATTGATTGGATCTGAGTCTCCTGAGGTCGGACCCACCTCACACGTCCATTTGGACATTCTTTAATTTCCTAATATTCTAGTAATAAATGAAAACGAGTAAGATATTCCTAATTTTAAGATGTAAGTTTCTTTCAATTATAAAATTTAATACTCATATTTATTAAAATTTGAGTTCATTTATTTAATTGAAAATGATGTGGGAGTCCTATTCCATCCAAATTCAATAATAGAAAATAAAATTTAATTATTTTTACATGTTTTCTTAATCAAACTTAAATTAATAAATTCAAAATAAAAATTATACTTAAACAATGTATAAATTCAAATAAATAATTTACTAATTATAAGAAATTCTAATAAATAATATGAAATTTAAAATGTACATTAAAAATCATTATCTATAATTAAATAGAGTAATGAGTACTTCAAAATTATTATTGATATCTTAATCTTATTTAAATAGATCGACTAGATACTAGTTCTTATAGTAATTTAGATAGTATACCATAATACATAATTGGAAAAACTAATTTTATTTTTTTAACTATAAAAATAATTGCTCATCAACCGTCCAAAAATTTGAATAATGAAAACTTACACATGAGATTCCAATAAGATCAAATAAAATACAAGCTAAAAATATCTTATAAAAAATAAAGAAAGAAGAAATATATATGATATGTCAACCTCTGTATAAGAAAATGAGATGATATTTGAATGAAAAGATCTATTTTATGTATTCAATTATTATAGTTTTTTTTATATGTTAAAAAGCAACAAAGTTTGAATAAAACACTCTAATTTTTATAAGTTTTAATCTTAATTTCACTTAAGTTTATTAATCCCTAAACATGTAAACGACAATAACAGATAAATGTGAAATGTTTAAAATACTCTTCTCTTTTCTCCACAAATTTCATTATTTTCTTTTATTTCAAATTGGTTGGTAGCGATCGCTCACAGTAATCAACTGTCTCATAATCAAATATGACAGGGGCGATTTGGCTGCGCACTCTAATTCTCATACTTCCTAAGAGCACGAGATCGACACTCCTTTGAGAGCGCAGTTGTACTCGAATCCGATAGCATGGTAGTCAACAATGAAAGGTAAATTTTAAAAGATTTTTTTTAACAAGAGAGAAAAAATAATTAAAAATAAAAATATATAATTTATATAATATAATATTTTTTAAAATTAATAAAAAGTTAAATTGTACTATAAATATTATCACTTTATCAAAATAATATAAATATTAAAAATTAATTAACAATTAGATTTATATATTTAACAAAAGATATTTTTTGAAAGGATTGCCTATTTTGAATATTAATGAACTTATTTGAAATTATATTAAAACCTAACAGGTTCAGGATATCTTACTCAAACAATTTTATTAAATAAACATGTAAAGGTAAATATTATGCTTAAATTCAATAATCTATTTTTAAGAAAATTATATGCAAATTATTATGAATGTAATTTATGAGAAAATTTATTTATTTATACTTTTATAGAAGTTCACCTATTTTTAATTATTATCAAAACCTTCACAAATAAATGAAAAACCAACATAAAACAAAAATATTAGTAAATAACTTTCATTTTTGTCACTAATATAAAATTCCACTGATAAAACGTAAAGATAAATTAAGCTTCAAATACATCGCTCTGATCTTGGACACATAAACCAAGCAACTTTAACCCATTATTTATTTTGCGCTTCGCTATCAAAGCTTTATATTAAAAAATAAAGAATAACGTTCACGTCCTTTCGATTTCAACATTTTTTAATGTTATTTTTATAATGTTTTAAATTAATATCTCATGAATAATTCTTTTTCATGAAAAGTGAATACTAAAATTTAGCAAATAAAGTTATTAAAATATTTTTAATTTAAAAAATTATTTATTTATTCACATTTATACATATTTTTTATAATTTTATGACCGTTTATTAAAGTAAAAATTGTTTTAAAAAAATTCACACGATGAAGTATAAACAATATAACCAAAATTAATCTAAAAATAAGTCCGAAAAAAAAAAAATAATATCTTTCATCAGTGAACCAGCGATCCCACTCGGTGGCAACTCACGTGCCCCTCTGTCCTGCAACCACGTGTTCCATCTCCAGTCCACATCACTTTGCCGGAGCAAAATAAAAGGGAATAAGTAATTAACCGAATAAACAAAAAATAAATTTAAAAATTTACTTTTTTTTTTAAAATTACGCAAGCGCCTTACACAACGACAAACCAAACAAACCGCTTTTCAATAAATCTATTATTTTTATTTTTTTTTCTATATCTTTAAAGAAACGTTTAATTCTTCTCTCTTTCGCTCCCTGCCCTCAATTCTCGGCCTGTTCTTTTGTTCAGTTTTTTCACCAAATTCCCATCGGTGTTTCTTTCCCTCTCCCCTCTCGGCCTGTTGTTTTCGCTTTCCCATCACTTTCTCAAGAAAATTAATTTTCTCGGGAAAGGTTAGGGTCGGATAGAGAGAGAAAAGAGCAATCATGAGCTTTCAAGATCTGGAAGCTGGACGGCCGTTGGCGTCGAGGCAAAACCTGATCAACGGAAAGCAAGACGCCACGCAAGCAGTGGCTTCTGGCATTTTCCAGATCAACACCGCCGTTTCCACCTTCCAGCGACTCGTCAATACCCTCGGGACTCCTAAGGACACGCCTGAGCTCCGGGAAAAGCTGTGAGTCTTGCCCCCAATTTCGATGGCCCCGTTTTGCAATTTTAACTGATCACGTTACTTGAATGTGATCGTATTTGATTGTTGAATTAAGATACGCAAAATTGTGGTTTAATTTTGTTCAATCGCGTTGATTTTAGCTTGGATCTTTCTATTTGGGAATTTCAGTTAGGGATGGTGATAAATGATTCCGTTGGTCAAGTTCAATTCTGACTCGCCTTTGAAGAAAGCTCAGAGAGTTTATCAGTTTTCGTTTGGATAATTGTGACAATTGTCGAAAACTTTACTACATGTTTGTTGATGTATAATGCTGGCTATTCATGATCACTTAGCGGTCTGTGTCATTGTATTGCACGGGCAACGAGTTGCTTTCTTTGACATGTCTCACTTCGCAGGCATAAAACGAGGCTACATATTGGGCAATTAGTGAAGGACACTTCGGCTAAACTTAAACAAGCTAGTGAAACAGATCACCGTGCTGAAGTTAGCGTAAGTTTGGTTTTGTTTACTATTATTGGTTGATTATGTGGACCAAGCAGCTTTCTATTTTGCTTTTTAAATCAACAAAGTGGAGATGATGAATTTTTTGTTCTATATAAACTCTGGTTAATTCATGCAATGGTTATTGAGCTTATTGCTAAAACCACTCTGAAATGTGCAATTATAAGCGACTTTCTACTACGTATAAGATATCTGGAGGACATAATATTTTTCTTTTTAAATTTTGGGGGTGTGGGGTTTATATATACTTGGAATCTTGATATTCCATATATAAACCTGAGCATAACCATTCTTAAATTAAATTAATCTTGCTGGTCTTGACTTGACAGAGATGAGCTGACAACGCCCCTGCCCCCTCTCTCTCCCCCCTTTCCTCTAGGGAACCACTTGATGCCTTTTAATTCCTTGTAATTGTAGGCAAGCAAGAAGATAACAGATGCTAAACTTGCAAAAGATTTTCAAACAGTTTTGAAAGAGTTTCAGAAGGCTCAACGGCTTGCCGCTGAAAGGGAAACAGCATACACTCCTTTTGTTCCCCAGACAGTTCTTCCCTCAAGGTATTTATTGTGGGAGGCTTTAAATGTACATGGATGGGGGAGTGAATGCATTCACTGCTTTTTTGTTCATGGTTTACACAGAAAATTGAGTCATTAGCAACATGGTTTTGACAAATCTTTGATGAAACATCTATATTGATTGCTGAAGTTTCTGCCATTTACTGGTTGCAAATGCTAATTGTTTGGTGGTTATACTTGTGTTATGCTTCAATCCTGCTCTAGACTTTTGCATGTTATTCTTATACTAGAGGTTCTTCCTGTTATATGCAGCTACACGGCCAGTGAGATAGATGTAGGTTCAGATAAAAGTGCTGAACAGCGAGCCCTTCTTGTGGAATCAAGAAGGTAAGTTCTGCTTTACAAATTCTTGCAAGCAATCCTTTTCATATGGTGCTTCAGCTTTTGAGTATGTATTTTGAAGCAGTCTATATTTGTTTATAGACTGTTTATTTATTGCATTATCTAATCATTTATTTTTTTATGAACTTGATTATCCAATTACTGACTTTAGCTTTTGAGTATTTTTTCCTTGCAGACAGGAGGTCTTGCTGTTGGATAATGAGATTGCTTTTAATGAGGCTATCATCGAAGAAAGAGAACAAGGAATTCAAGAAATTCAGCAGCAAATTGGTGAGGTGAACGAGATCTTCAAAGATCTTGCTGTGCTAGTTCATGAGCAAGGAACTATAATTGGTAAAGAATTTCATCTTCCATTAAATTCACTATATGATTGTTCTGACCTTCTGGGTCATGTTCAGAAGTACTGAACGTCAATCTATGCTGCAGATGACATTGGGACCCATATTGAAAATTCACAGGCTGCCACTGGACAGGCAAAATCCCAACTTGTGAAAGCTGCAAAGACCCAAAGATCCAATTCTTCTTTGGTAACCTACAATGCTCTGATTCTTTATTTTATTAAAATAAATTTGTGCACTGGGTGTAAAGCACCATCTTGGCAGACATACCCACTTTCTTTAAACCCCTTTTAGTTGGGATAGTGGGACATGGTGCGGGGTTTCCCTCAGTGGGTCTGGGAACCCTGATTGATCACACACCTTAATAATGCAGTGACCTGCCTATGCAAAGCCATCTTGGACAGTTGCTTTAATCATTGAAAGATACTGTCTACCATTCTTCCAAGGAATTAATGTCTTTAAATTTTTTGTGCAGACCTGCTTGCTCCTGGTGATATTTGGTATTGTGCTTCTCATCGTGATCATAGTACTAGCAGCCTGATCAGAATCATAGAGCAATTTAAAGATCTTCTCAGCAACAAGGGGGTGATCTAAATGTGTTTGATTATGTTGTTTCGCGAGACATCATGGCTGACTTGAATTAAAGTTTTAGTGTAAGTATATATCATGTGGTCATTGCCTCATTGGTCATCCCTTATGATATTTGGTTGATCTTTGGGCGGGGGTGTCTCTTTTCTGTAAGTTGGGTGTTTGGGTTTGTTACAGCTTTCGAGTATTGTCCCCTTTGTCTTCTTTGATATTTCATGTAATAAGAGTTATAATTCTTTGGTTTTTCCATATCAATATATATGCATTCACATCGTGCCTTATTTCCATGGCATTCTGACCTATCCTGTCAAGTAAATTTCTCTGGTGTTAAGAGAAAGTATCTACTACTGCACCGTGTTAATTAATTTATTTTTATTGCATTTTCCATTGCGTGAACTATTAATAGTTCTTTCCTTAAACTCTGAAGTCTAAACCCTGAATGAGAGAACAGAAATAGCATCAACCAGAAGGCATTAAACTCAGACAAAATGATGTCAAAATCCTTAACGGATATGTAATCTGTCCCATAAAAACAAATTTATCATGTAAAACCTGATATTGGCTAAGATTGTTTCAAGTTTTTGGACACCTTGATGCCTGAACAATATATAGATGTCAATACAATTGAAAGAGTTGATAAGAAGGCAGTACCGAAGGTAACAACTGATACAAATCCGGCATGTGCCTTTTTTCCAGAAGGTATTCTCCATGCTACGGTACCGGTTCTGGATTTGGCACTGTTGTGGGGTGACATGTACAAACAGCTCTGTTTCTGGTGCTTTACTTCCATGCTGCAGCTCATCAATACATCAGGTTCACCAATTTCAACAATCGAATAGCCGCTTTCATCTAAGGGCTGCAAAACAAAAAAGAAAAAGAAGTTCAAATTTTCACTGGGTACCCACATTTGACAGATCTACACATGCTCTTGCGTTTTTGCCATGTCAATGACAAAGATCAAACATGGCTGATGCTAGAAATTCATATTGACAGTTGCATCAACTACAAAGTATTAAAAAAAGTGATAGTATTGAAAGCCTTCCCTCTCACTTACTGGATATCGAGCATGTAGTGGAAACTGTACATTGATTTCCAGTTCATTATTCAACCCTGACAAGATGTTGGATCCGGCATCCATGTGAACTTCAACAACAGATCGATTGGACCGAAACGAAGGCAATTCTAAGTCTGTGTCTCCAAAAACAGCTATATTTGTGAACACTGGAACAAGTAAAATGCATAAGTTAACCTCAAAAACAGAAGATAATGCGGTAAGCCTTGTTGTAACTATACAATTAGTCTGTTTTTTTCACAAGAAAAATCAATTGCAGTTTACCCTTTCGCTCATGAAGATGTTGTAACTCAAACGGGTCAGCAAAGACTCCACGGGGTAGTCTTTGTATAATTATAACTTCACAAAAATGAACAGGCAGTTTAGCAACGGACTCTGCCTCAATCTGCAATCTGATAGATGAAGACAAATGACGATGAGAACCTTCACCAAGAAGAGAGAGCTCTAGAACTGATAGCCTCACATTAATATTCAGGTTATCTGGAAACACTTCACACAAACCGGAAGAAAGTTCATGCGCCATAAAATCTTCGAAACTTGAATCATGCAGGTTCTCATATTTGTCAAAATAAGATTTCATAATATAGTTCCTGGCATCTGAGTTCTGGGAATCCGGTGGTTCGACCTGAAAATTAAGGATGTCGAATTCCTTGAAAACTTAGCAGTCGGCTCTAGCAAGGCATAAGTTTGTAAATGTAAGATAGCTAGGCAGATACCTAACCCACAAAGCACCTTGACTAATTACCACGGCAACTGCATTTTCTTTTCTTCTTTTTGAACAACTAACTTCCATGACGGTAGAAATAGATAATTTGTAAAGTTTCAGGAACAAGCATCATGCTGACTTACCTCACTTGAGGATGAGAAGACATGCATGCAAGAGACAGTACCAGAAAAGAACATCCACAGGATTGCAAGTTTCCGATAAAAGCATAACCGGTTATACTGTCTAGTTGCCATAGAGTCACTGAAATTGAAGAAACAAATTAGATAAGAAATGTACAAGAAAATCACATGGTAGGACACTTTCTCCATTGAATCAAATGGTTGGTACTAACAAGCATAAGAAATTTTGGACAGATTGAAGTTTGTACAAAAAAGATTACTTCAGAACCCATCCATTAATCTTACAGATAAAGAAAAGAAGGATCCGTTCACATATTTCATAAAAAATTCTCTTTACTCCTTCTAACTTTTCCCCAGACAAGAGCCTTAACAATTCCATCATGAGCAATTACAATGACCCAAAATACAAATTTTTAATTTTCCATTAACTACACCAATTCAAAACTTGTAGAGAGAG